CTCATAAACTTTACTGGAAAGCATAGGAATTTTTACCGTACTAGCATGGCAATTTTTCCACAGTGAGCTTATAAGACAGCATGGTAATTCTTCTCTCCGTGTAGCGTTATACGGTAAAAAAGTATTTTAAATATCTATATAAATTTTTTGTGCATTCCAACTGGAGTTCTAGAAATACTATTGTAGAAAGTTTGTATCTACTTGAGAAATTTGCATCTTTAAAAGCTCTTTGAAGATTCCACGACTAGAATTTAAATTCAACTAAGCGTAAATGACCTGACAGATATATAAACCATTGAAACATAGTTTTTTTAAATTTAAAGCTACAAATTCTTAATCTACTGTAAGACGAAAGTGACCAAAAACACTATTGCTTATTAATTTTTGCTTTTATACATATATAGACTCAATTTATATTTTCGATATTTCCTAAAACATTAAGAAACTAAAAGAATTTTGAATAATTGTTTTGATATTTATGAAAAATCCAACAAGCTTTTCAGAAAATTACAGTTTCTGTAAAAAAAATAATAAAACACAAAATTCATTAAACTTTTAAAATGCCTTGTAATAATATACATGTATGTATAGGTACTTTCGCTTTAAGTATTTGTTGGTCTACGTTTAAACAAACTTATCCGGCAACAATGTTTTGAAAAGAATGTTGACTTTACCCTCCTCGCACCGCCTGCTTTCTAATTACTAGCGAGCTACACAGGTAAACGACGAGGTAAAAATCGCGAACAGCTTTGCAGCAGTTTTGTTGTTGTTGTTCTTGCTGAGTGTGCTGTACAGTGTACTGAAATAAGTGCGAGTTATCGAAACCATTTCGTTTTTTACATTCCAATGGCGTCTTTATGATATTGTGCGTGGAAAACGTTCTGATTTTCTTCCGGTGTCGGTGATATCGGAAAAAAGTCGAATCAACAGGTCGAAGGTACGCACAACTCATCAATAATATGCTTGCGTTGCTCAAATTTTTCTTAACTATGACCGATCGATAGGTGGATCGAACTATCTATCCGTAGGCAACACCGTGAGCAAACGAATGACCTTATTATTATTTTCTTTTTTTCATTAATAAAAAGTGCATTCCATTCAATAATATGCGATAAATAAATTAAATCGCTCGTTGCTTATTCACATATTTAAGATTTTGGTTGTTGAGCAATCAGTTTTCGTATATGTCGTACCTACTTACTTAGGTAACGTTAAATTGCTACGTGAGCATTTTTTCATTGTACGTTTCAAGCCATTCGTAAATACAATGTAAATGTACATGGCGAATTAGTGTAGGAAGTACTTATTACTCACAATAGCTGAAACAATTATGTAGAAATCGACATATGGTATTTTACATTTACATTCACATGTATGTGGTTTACTCTTTAAATTTCACTTTTTTTTATGAATACCTTTACATTTTCTTTTACTGAAATATCGCATAAGATTTACTACTTAATGAACGATTTTATCAAAAACGATCAAAGACAAAATTAGTTAGTAGGTAAGTATAACATGACTTTTCTAGAAAAACCGTTAATTTTTGATTAAGAAAATAACCAAAGTACTATTCAAGATACTAAAGGTACTTTTTAATCGAAACCGGCTGTAAAATTTTTTAAATTAACAAACTTCAAACAATAGTTACTTTAATCTAGCAAATATGTAATTATTTTATTTTTTTAGGCAGCCCTTGGCATGTGAATATAATGTCAACTTCATCAGTATCAGTTCTGGGCGAATCCACCAGATTAGTACCGGCCCACGTATCGGCCGTTTTCGAAATCGTCACAAAAAATCACAATATCATTCCCGAAGATATCACGGTTCACGTGATATCTCCTAGTAAAAGGGCCATCCAGGCGCGTGTACTTCCCGGAACTAGAACCGGAGTACAAAGCGTTGAATTCGTTCCCAACGAAGTTGGGACACACATAATCGAAGTGGCCGTTGCGGGGGAAAAACTCCTTACCCCATTAGTGGCCAAAGTATATGATACAAGTCTTATACAAGTCACTGATGTTGGCAGCGGAGTTGTTGGCCAACCTGTTCAGTTTAAGGGTAAGAGAGGAAATAATACCTACTAATGCTTCAGATAAGCTGGAATATATCCATTACATTTTGCCTTAAAAAAATATATGAACCAATGTAAAAAATATCAGCAAAAGATCTCAATAGTACATCACCTCCATCTCTCCTTATCCTAAACCAATCCCTCATGTAACTCCTTTCCTTACGGTTATATGCTTCAACTTTTATTAATCTTTGAATTTCAAAATTAACCCTTCTAGAACAGAGAAGTTATTAATTTATTTTCGTTAAAAGTGACCCGGAATTTCACTTATTATATAAATACTTAAAACCCAAAGTACCACAAAACATTTAAAAACTCTAACCGAGGATGATACTTTGGGCATCGAAAGATTTCTAAACTTTTCGTGGAATTTTGAGTTATAAGTGTTCAGCACTCAATTGCATATTGTATATGTACTTCCTAGAAATACACCCTAAATAAATGAACCTAATTAAAAATTTAATTAGCCGTACAACTGAAATTAACTTCCTTAATTTCTCCATGCATAATGTACACTTCCTATTTAATACCAGAAGTTTCTCCTTCTATTTTTTTTGCTTAGTATCTAGGTAATACTGTATAATAATATAATCCGGCTAATTTGATAAAAGTTTTAAACAAATATCAACCCGAGTAGGAATAAAATTATTGTCAATTTATTTATTTTTTTTTTTAGTTGATGCCAGTCAAGCTGGAGAGGGTCAACTTGAGATATCAATAAACGAAGGGGAAGTACCCAATCACGTTCAGGTGGTTGGGGGAGGCAGATGTTTAGTATCATTCACCCCCGACGTCGCCAAGCCTCATCTAATCGATATAAAATTCAATGGCGAAACAGTAAGGGGTTGCCCATTTGTCTGTCCAGTGGCAGACACAAGCAGAGTGAATCTGAGCCTGACTCACCTCGAACTGATCCCCGTCAATCAACCCAGTTCGTTTCATATTGCGGTTGTAGGGGGCGGCACCGCCGAATTAGCGGTAGCCGTTCGAGGTCCTTCTGGGGAATTACCGGTAAAAGTAACTGGAGATATTCATTCCGGATTTACAGCTGAATTCACCCCCGTTCTTGTGGGTGCTTATCAGATAACAGTAGATTACAACGGTCGCCCGGTACAGGGCACCCCCTTTGTGGCAAAAGCATTTGATTGCACTAAAGTCTCAGTCGGCCATGTCGCCCACGGAATTGTGGGGAGACCGGTTACCTTTTCTGTAGACGCTAGCGAGGCTGGCGAGGGTAACTTGGAGATAACGATTTCGGCAAGGGGATTGAATATACCCACTCAGGTGCATCCCCAAGGTAATGCCAAATTCGCCGTCAGTTTTGTACCCGTTGAAGCGTGCGATCATGTAATTAATGTGGCATTTAACAAACGACCCGTGGTCGGATGTCCCTTGATTGTTGGGGTTGGTAGCGGAAGCAACGGGCCGAGTGTTACCCTTCCGGGGCCAGGGCCTATTCACAAACCAAGCACTCTCTTGATTAATCATCCGGGGAGGTTGGAAGATATCGAAGTTAATGTCGAGGGTGAGAATGATGCAATAATATTTTGTGGTTTCAGGACGACGGTGGCGGGGTAGTTTTAGGGTGGTGGTGGTGGTCGTAGTTACAAATAAGTATACATACGCTTTTTATTGGCAAAAATATGTTATAGAAAAAAATAGTAGATACGGATGACTGTTTTTTTCTCTAGAATTTATTTTAATTTTGCATTAGTTTAAAACAGTTAATAATGGAGTAAATTTGAAACTTTTTTTATTCTAATTTTGGAACAAACAGAATAGCTCAAAACCCCAACGCCAAAACACGACACTGTAGTTGTCCGAAGCACTTTTCGGTAACAAAGTTACCTTCTTCAGGGACTGANCTCATCATCCGCCTATAACACCACATTTCGAACGCTTCTAACCTTTTCTTTTAGAATATTCCAAAAAAATGTTTTTGGATAGGTACATTAAAAAATAGCCACAGATATTTGAACTTTCTTTGATTAATGTGTGGAAAGCATTTCGATAAAACGACTCTCTGACAAACAATTAAATTTAACTTATCCAGGGTGGTCCATTTACGTGTGCAGTTTTTGATCCCGATGGCGTCGAAGTTTCCGGCTTAGAAGGAGCTTTACCCCTTGTGCCACACACTGTCGATGTTGATTGCAGAGCGGTAGGAGTTCCCGGTGAAGTGCAGGCTGACGTTGTTCATAATAAGAAAACCGTACATAGTCGTATAGAAAAAGTAGACACTAGCGGTTATCTTTACAGGGTGCATTTCACTCCAATGGAAGGTGGCAAACATAGGGTAAAACTATATCATTTACTTCCACATTCTTTTACTGAAATTTGGTGAAAAGCAAAATCAAGATCAAAACAATTGCAATTTCTGTTTTGCTATCGCTTTCTGAGACATGACTTTTTGACTATTTGGCAATTGTTTCTGGTTAAATGTTTGATAAATTTCAATCTTTTTTATCATTTAGTCGATCCTTGATTTTAACTTTATGAGTTAAGTAGTCTCTGTCTTGGTCTGACTTTTTATAACAGAATTACGAAAACTGATTTTTCTTATGGCCAAACAATATCTATGCCCTTCTGGATATTATATGGTAAATAATGTGATTATTTCTTCATCATTATTTTTTCATAGGTTTATATTTACTTCAACGGCTACGATGTTAGAGGGTCCCCGTTTATGTTGAGAGTAGGATCTCAAAGAAGATCTAAAACTTCAAATAGTCCAACATTTCGAAAAACATCATCGGTGTCTCCGATAAGCTCCCCCACAAACCGTTACGCATCCTCAAGTCCCATCGATACCTCGTACAATTCAAAAAATTCCAATTACTACGATGGTTCTCCATCGTTACATGACAAATATTATTATTCGTCGAGAGAATATCAGAAAGGTCAAAGTGAAAAATACCAATACTCTGGAAACAAGAACGACGAATTTAGAAAGTCTGCCAGTCCCAGTTTCGCTCCTAGGCCATCCAGTCCCAACTTTCCACCGAGACCACAAAGTCCAGCATATTACAGGAACCAGAGTCCCAATTATAATCGATCTAGTCCAATTTATGGCAGGACCACCCAGATGACATCAAGTCAAAACCATTCGTCAAACACATCCCGAATAAACAGAAGTCAAAGCCCGGCGATTCGGGTGGAGAGTCCTTCCTCGGAGTACGTTTCTTCGAAGACAGTAAACGAAAGAAGACATGAAGTGTCATCCCCCAGCAGTTACTTAAAGAGACGAGAGGAGTACGATTATGTATCTAGCGCAGCCAACAACGTTTCGTCATTACGTATATCTAACTCATCCCCATCTCCAGAGCATAGACTCGGAAGTCCAGGTATTTATTCAGAAAGAAAAAGTCCAGGGCGAAATCAAATCATTCAACCTCGAGGCTATGACGAAACTGATAGGGGAATAGATACAAGTCCCACAGTGAAGGTCTCAACAGACGATAAGCATGCCAGGAGGGATAGTTGGGACGCCATAGCGAAGACAAAGAATATTTTATCGAGAAGAAGTTTGGAATCGGTTGCTAATTTAACAGATAGTCAACTGGATTCCAAATTAGGAAAGTCTGGATTGGAAGAAGAAACGGATGGTTTCCTGAAACGGGAAAGAGATAGTGCCAGCGAAAACTATTTTAGAAGTTACGCAGCAGAAGAGAGTAAATACAAATCCAGTTTGGAAAGGAGGACTGCTAAAAGTGGGAACTACGGTGGAGCTTCAGCTATCAAAGTACAGCCGATTCCTGATGGGGTTCTTGGAAAACCGGTGGAATTTGAAAGTAAGTTTTATAGTAAAACAATATCTCCTAATTACGTCATACAGTTAAATTTTCAATTAAAAGTAAAGACGAAAGATTGGTGTTGAAATATATATGGAACTGGATACTTCCAAACGTTTCGCTTTTTCTCACTGGATCTTCAGCGGTACTAGTAAGATTAAATTAAGTCAACACAAAATAAAGCAGTCAAAGAGAAATTGTGAAACGTTTAAAGTAACCAAACGTCTTCCAATACTTACAGAAAGACAAAAAAGATCCATTTTTCCTGATTTTCTCTGTTACGGCTGTTGACTCCAAATAGTACATACTACACAAAATTTTCAATCATATTTAAATTGTTCAATTTAAACGTCAATCTTGTTCTCACGAATAATTACTTGTAATTTTAAAACCATTGGAATCATTCAAAATTGTACCGAATCAACCCAAAATTTTGGTGTTTTCGTGGGTGCATAAGTGTTTGTTATAATGTGAAATGTCGACGTGTAGTTGATGGAAGTGGTGCCGGGTCTGGCGATTTGGAAATTCTTGTGGAAGGTGGTAAAGTGACATCCAGTGTTCGCAGTTTAGGCGGACAACGTTTCAAAGCGGCATTTACCCCTCATCAGGTGCTTCCGCATCGGGTAGATATACGATTTAATGGTGACATGGTACCTGGTAAGTTGAATTCAGCCTATTCGTTCGCATGTTTCTAATCATTTGCTTGCCCGCAACTTATTAACACAAAACATTATTTATTCGACAGATCAAGTCAAATTACAAAACTATAATGAATTTTGATATCAAATATTAATGTGAAAATTCATTTTTTATTTTTATCCATTAGAAATNTGTTGCTGTTGCCACATTTTGATATCACTGATAACATTAAAAGACTTACTTATTGATATGATATTTTCTACATATTTTTTGAAGAATTAAATGAAAAAGTATTTGCGAATTTTTTCCTTTCTTAAGATTTTAATTATAATTAATATATTACGCATTTTCATGTCGAAATATCTACATCATTGTATATGTTGATTGATATTTTATATCAACAATATGAATAGGTACCTATCAAAAGTTATCAAAAGAAAGGTAAGTGAGTATTACGTATCATTTTATAAACTAACTATCTAACATGCATGTAGGTTTATAGTAATATTTGCATATCGTACAACATTCAATGACCAGATAATGTTTAAACAAATACAAAACACTTCACAAAGCAAACTCATTAGGCAAAATGGCTAAGTTTTTTAAACTTTTTAGTTCAACAACAGTGATTTACTTTTAAAATAATTTACCGAAAACGAAACATGAAATGAATGCCATACAAAATAATTTGATGTACGATTAATTACACTCATCAGGTTTACGGTAATATTAAATATCTACAGATTTAAGTAGTGAAAAGGCATGTATGCCTTGCAGATAGTTTAAAGAATATGTAGCAGCAATTTTTAGTAAATATTGCATTTTAGTCCTTGAAATCAGGGAAAAATAGCGTACTTTCGGTCACGGAGAGAAAAATTATCATTAAATTAACATGTATTAAGAAAATTCGATATTAGTCCAACATTTTTTGTAGGAGAACCTCATAAACTTTACTGGAAAGCATAGGAATTTTTACCGTACTAGCATGGCAATTTTTCCACAGTGAGCTTATAAGACAGCATGGTAATTCTTCTCTCCGTGTAGCGTTATACGGTAAAAAAGTATTTTAAATATCTATATAAATTTTTTGTGCATTCCAACTGGAGTTCTAGAAATACTATTGTAGAAAGTTTGTATCTACTTGAGAAATTTGCATCTTTAAAAGCTCTTTGAAGATTCCACGACTAGAATTTAAATTCAACTAAGCGTAAATGACCTGACAGATATATAAACCATTGAAACATAGTTTTTTTAAATTTAAAGCTACAAATTCTTAATCTACTGTAAGACGAAAGTGACCAAAAACACTATTGCTTATTAATTTTTGCTTTTATACATATATAGACTCAATTTATATTTTCGATATTTCCTAAAACATTAAGAAACTAAAAGAATTTTGAATAATTGTTTTGATATTTATGAAAAATCCAACAAGCTTTTCAGAAAATTACAGTTTCTGTAAAAAAAATAATAAAACACAAAATTCATTAAACTTTTAAAATGCCTTGTAATAATATACATGTATGTATAGGTACTTTCGCTTTAAGTATTTGTTGGTCTACGTTTAAACAAACTTATCCGGCAACAATGTTTTGAAAAGAATGTTGACTTTACCCTCCTCGCACCGCCTGCTTTCTAATTACTAGCGAGCTACACAGGTAAACGACGAGGTAAAAATCGCGAACAGCTTTGCAGCAGTTTTGTTGTTGTTGTTCTTGCTGAGTGTGCTGTACAGTGTACTGAAATAAGTGCGAGTTATCGAAACCATTTCGTTTTTTACATTCCAATGGCGTCTTTATGATATTGTGCGTGGAAAACGTTCTGATTTTCTTCCGGTGTCGGTGATATCGGAAAAAAGTCGAATCAACAGGTCGAAGGTACGCACAACTCATCAATAATATGCTTGCGTTGCTCAAATTTTTCTTAACTATGACCGATCGATAGGTGGATCGAACTATCTATCCGTAGGCAACACCGTGAGCAAACGAATGACCTTATTATTATTTTCTTTTTTTCATTAATAAAAAGTGCATTCCATTCAATAATATGCGATAAATAAATTAAATCGCTCGTTGCTTATTCACATATTTAAGATTTTGGTTGTTGAGCAATCAGTTTTCGTATATGTCGTACCTACTTACTTAGGTAACGTTAAATTGCTACGTGAGCATTTTTTCATTGTACGTTTCAAGCCATTCGTAAATACAATGTAAATGTACATGGCGAATTAGTGTAGGAAGTACTTATTACTCACAATAGCTGAAACAATTATGTAGAAATCGACATATGGTATTTTACATTTACATTCACATGTATGTGGTTTACTCTTTAAATTTCACTTTTTTTTATGAATACCTTTACATTTTCTTTTACTGAAATATCGCATAAGATTTACTACTTAATGAACGATTTTATCAAAAACGATCAAAGACAAAATTAGTTAGTAGGTAAGTATAACATGACTTTTCTAGAAAAACCGTTAATTTTTGATTAAGAAAATAACCAAAGTACTATTCAAGATACTAAAGGTACTTTTTAATCGAAACCGGCTGTAAAATTTTTTAAATTAACAAACTTCAAACAATAGTTACTTTAATCTAGCAAATATGTAATTATTTTATTTTTTTAGGCAGCCCTTGGCATGTGAATATAATGTCAACTTCATCAGTATCAGTTCTGGGCGAATCCACCAGATTAGTACCGGCCCACGTATCGGCCGTTTTCGAAATCGTCACAAAAAATCACAATATCATTCCCGAAGATATCACGGTTCACGTGATATCTCCTAGTAAAAGGGCCATCCAGGCGCGTGTACTTCCCGGAACTAGAACCGGAGTACAAAGCGTTGAATTCGTTCCCAACGAAGTTGGGACACACATAATCGAAGTGGCCGTTGCGGGGGAAAAACTCCTTACCCCATTAGTGGCCAAAGTATATGATACAAGTCTTATACAAGTCACTGATGTTGGCAGCGGAGTTGTTGGCCAACCTGTTCAGTTTAAGGGTAAGAGAGGAAATAATACCTACTAATGCTTCAGATAAGCTGGAATATATCCATTACATTTTGCCTTAAAAAAATATATGAACCAATGTAAAAAATATCAGCAAAAGATCTCAATAGTACATCACCTCCATCTCTCCTTATCCTAAACCAATCCCTCATGTAACTCCTTTCCTTACGGTTATATGCTTCAACTTTTATTAATCTTTGAATTTCAAAATTAACCCTTCTAGAACAGAGAAGTTATTAATTTATTTTCGTTAAAAGTGACCCGGAATTTCACTTATTATATAAATACTTAAAACCCAAAGTACCACAAAACATTTAAAAACTCTAACCGAGGATGATACTTTGGGCATCGAAAGATTTCTAAACTTTTCGTGGAATTTTGAGTTATAAGTGTTCAGCACTCAATTGCATATTGTATATGTACTTCCTAGAAATACACCCTAAATAAATGAACCTAATTAAAAATTTAATTAGCCGTACAACTGAAATTAACTTCCTTAATTTCTCCATGCATAATGTACACTTCCTATTTAATACCAGAAGTTTCTCCTTCTATTTTTTTTGCTTAGTATCTAGGTAATACTGTATAATAATATAATCCGGCTAATTTGATAAAAGTTTTAAACAAATATCAACCCGAGTAGGAATAAAATTATTGTCAATTTATTTATTTTTTTTTTTAGTTGATGCCAGTCAAGCTGGAGAGGGTCAACTTGAGATATCAATAAACGAAGGGGAAGTACCCAATCACGTTCAGGTGGTTGGGGGAGGCAGATGTTTAGTATCATTCACCCCCGACGTCGCCAAGCCTCATCTAATCGATATAAAATTCAATGGCGAAACAGTAAGGGGTTGCCCATTTGTCTGTCCAGTGGCAGACACAAGCAGAGTGAATCTGAGCCTGACTCACCTCGAACTGATCCCCGTCAATCAACCCAGTTCGTTTCATATTGCGGTTGTAGGGGGCGGCACCGCCGAATTAGCGGTAGCCGTTCGAGGTCCTTCTGGGGAATTACCGGTAAAAGTAACTGGAGATATTCATTCCGGATTTACAGCTGAATTCACCCCCGTTCTTGTGGGTGCTTATCAGATAACAGTAGATTACAACGGTCGCCCGGTACAGGGCACCCCCTTTGTGGCAAAAGCATTTGATTGCACTAAAGTCTCAGTCGGCCATGTCGCCCACGGAATTGTGGGGAGACCGGTTACCTTTTCTGTAGACGCTAGCGAGGCTGGCGAGGGTAACTTGGAGATAACGATTTCGGCAAGGGGATTGAATATACCCACTCAGGTGCATCCCCAAGGTAATGCCAAATTCGCCGTCAGTTTTGTACCCGTTGAAGCGTGCGATCATGTAATTAATGTGGCATTTAACAAACGACCCGTCGTCGGATGTCCCTTGATTGTTGGGGTTGGTAGCGGAAGCAATGGACCGAGTGTTACCCTACCGGGGCCAGGGCCCATTCACAAACCAAGCACTCTCTTGATTAATCATCCGGGGAGGTTGGAAGATATCGAAGTTAATGTCGAGGGTGAGAATGATGCAATAATATTTTGTGGTTTCAGGACGACGGTGGCGGGGTAGTTTTAGGGTGGTGGTGGTGGTCGTAGTTACAAATAGGTATACATACGCTTTTTATTGGCAAAAATATGTTATAGAAAAAAATAGTAGATACGGATGACTGTTTTTTTCTAGAATTTATTTTAATTTTGCATTAGTTTAAAACAGTTAATAATGGAGTAAATTTGAAACTTTTTTTATTCTAATTTTGGAACAAACAGAATAGCTCAAAACCCCAACGCCAAAACACGACACTGTAGTTGTCCGAAGCACTTTTCGGTAACAAAGTTACCTTCTTCAGGGACTGTTTTAGTTCACTTCAGTTCCTAAAGAAGGTAACGTTAGCGTTTTGAGTTATTCTGTTTGTTCTACAACAACCGCCAGTTTTTCCTATCTTCATATTTATTCTAATTTGTTTATTGATTACTGTGTTTTAAACTTTTGCAAGACAAAGTAGCTTTTTTACGTCTTACGTTTTAATATACTACGAAGTTATGCACTGTGATATTTTTCATAATATGTACGAACACCAACGACGGTAAACCTATGCATATTTTGTTGTTGCAATGTTGTGTTATTTTCTATTGTTATTTTATAAATTTTATGTGTATGTATCTGCAATAAATTCTTGCCACTCTTTTTGTTGCTAATATGCCTATATTAGTTACTACTGTACATGTATGTAATAATAAAATTTTCATTTCTGGCTTTACATGTTTGTGTCTTTCTAATGTAATAAACGTTTTTGAATCTCTATTGCACCGCATTTTTTTCGTATTTTCAGGGCATAGAAGATTTGTCACGTAGACATCCCTTTATATTTGTACATGTAATTAACCCAATACCCTCCTTACTAATGGCACTTAGTTCCTTTATTTTCTTCTTCTTGTTTTTGTATTATAAAATTCCTATTTTCAAGAAAAAAAAAAACATAAAAAACTTCATTCGTAATGTTACGTGTGTGTGAAACACAATTTCCATCAAGAAAATATGACAATAATTTTATTATTGATACAATTTGTTCCAATAATAAAAATATTTTGGTTTTTGTATCAGAATTGGCTCTCCTCTTTTGGTGAGGCGAATCACTGGACTCACTGATAAAGGCGGGACAATCCTGAACAACAACCATCAATCTCAAATATTGAATTTTATTTAAATAAAGTCGTTCGTAAAAACCTTCGCTTAAACGTGATATTGTACTTTCTGTCTTGAAAGTTGTATGTGTAATTAATCAAAATTTGCACCTCTATTTTCTTCGTTATTTTTAAATTAGATTGCAATTATTTACAATTGTATTTTACTTTACTTATTATCAATTACTTTTACTTTTTTCTTTTGAAAATACTAGAAATTTAATCCACAAATATAACCTTTTAGTACCCTAAACATCAACATTAATTGATTTTCATTTAATTTTAAAAAAAAAGGATTTGTTGTCAGTTTATAAAATTAACAATAATAATAGAGGTAACAATTTTTGAATAATAAACCATATAATAAAAATACGTATTATGCCAACAAATCCAAACTTTATTAAAAAATTACGAATGATTTTACTTAAAAGAAAGATAATACATATTTAGACATCAAATGGTTAAAATTGGTTGCATGTTTAGTATTGTTTTTCTTGATGAAGAGACTTTACTTTGGTGAGGGTTGTTCTTTTATTTCCAATTGAGTATACTGTTGCTGCACTTCTTGTTTTTTTTTTTGTATATACGATACATACACAGTTTTAAAATTTTGTAATTATTATCCTTCGGAAAATAACATTGCAACAAACAAAAATACCGAGCACGTTTCAAAGTTCTATTTTTAAAGAAGATAAAACCGAAAGGTAAATGGTGCCATAAATTTGTATCAATTTCTCTGATTAGTATAATTAACAGTTTTGAATTTGGTTAACAAAATAGCTATGCAAAAACAAAAAAACATTGCTACTACAAGTTATTCACTATGGTCAGAGTTAGTCATAAATAATTTTTATTTAACCAGATTTGCATAATATATGGTTATTTATTGCAATTGCATATCACTTTCACTTTCATTTATAAACTTAATAGCAATATTATTCAAAACAATGGCAACTGATTTATGAAACGTTAAGAAATTTATATATATAAGTGCACTTAGTTTTGTGATAACGATATATTTACACAACGATTGAAGTTCAATTATATTTCATAGGTAAATACCGTTTTAATTAAATTTAATTAATGTATCATCCTCGATTACGATTGTAACTATCAAGTCAATTCAACTTTTTCTAAATTAACCTTCTCATGGCAAAATATCGTATTTCTTTAGAGGGTTAAAATTGATTTCAATGACAAAACTATTTTAACTTTCTAATTATTATCAACTGAGTCTAAATTTAGAAAGGTAGATATAATATAAAAATAAGAAGTGGAAAATTATTTTTACCAAAACAAAAAAGCATACAAATTAATTCTAAAGATTGGCAGATTTATCATGAAACTTTTTTAAAATGTTTTTAATATCTGCAATCTTTAGAACTAAACCAAATTTTTGGTCCTTTTCCTTCGCCCCTTTGTCCATCCTGAATCCTACGTGACATACCTACGCATACACCAAAAGGACTAGGAAAGGATTGTTAAATAACATGCACTGTCTCCACACCTTCACGCAATTAAATAAATACATTAACTACATCAGGCCCCGGAGGTCAAGCTGTTCCAACTCAAGTTCAACCGATCGGCAGCGGTCAATTTCAAGCAGAATTTGTTCCCCGAACTGTTGGCGAACATCGCATAGCTGTGAATGTTAGTGGTGTGCCAACCACGGGAAGTCCATACGCAGCAAAAATATATGATGTCCAAGCGATCAAAGTAAAGGACGCGACCACAGGCGTTGTTGGAAAACCGGTAACATTTTTAGGTTGGTATCCTATTTATTATTATTGGAAACCATAAAATCCGTCTATTGGTGATTGGAAAATTGTTAGGCAACATTTATAAAATTACCTTCAAATTTAGGAAATACGTATTTTTAAACAAGTTATAATAAAACTTGTTTCAATACTTTCCTGCAATAACGGATTTTCTGGATCGCCCCGATTTTTTAATACTTTCCCACTTTGTTGCCCCATATCAGTTGAAACAAGCCTGGCAGGACCAGGGAACTTAGAAGTGACGGTAAACGGTGGTCGAGTCCCAACATCCGCCCAAGCCCAAGGACCTCACGTCTACGCCATTTCCTTTACACCACGAGAGGCGACGGTTCATTCTGTAGATCTCCGTTTTAATGGTCAAGATGTTCCCGGCAGCCCTTTCAAGTGTAACGTTGCTCCGTCGGCAAGAATAATCGCTCCCGATGCTCTAGATAAGATTTCTGTCGGGAAGTCATGCGTATTTGCCGTGGAAAGCTCGGCTGTACCAATCGTTGAAGTTCTTGGTCCGGCAAGGAAACCCGTACCAACACAGGTAGAAGAAATTTTGTAAAATTATTCACTTCCAGATTTTTCGACGATCGCAATCTGTTTCAGATAACACCACAATCAGGTGCCCAAGGTAAATACGACGTAACATTCGTACCCGTCGACGTAGGAGATCACAGCGTTGAGGCAAGTTAATATAATAATTACCTAAACCCTCAAATAATGAGCAATTGGTTTTTAATAATTATTACTCAGGTTCGACTCCCTGGCGGCCATATTGAAGGAAGCCCTTTCCTTATCAAAGCGTATGACGCAGGAAGAGTTGTAGTATCTGATATAAACGATGGAATGGTTGGAAAGCCAGTTTCTTTCAGTATCAACGCATCCCAAGCTGGAGCTGGAAATTTGGAAATAATTGTAGCGGTTGCTGGCAGGAATGTACCCAATTTTGTCCAAAGTGAGGGAAACGCAAGATTTAAAGTTAATTTCAAACCAACAGAAGCAGCCACGCATACCCTCAGTGTTCGGTAAAGGCACGATGATGACGTTTCCATATCAGCATTTACTAAGAGATCTTTTTGTTTAGTTTTAATGGACAACCTGTTCCCGGGTCTCCATTTAGCTGTAAAGTGCACCCCGGCAACACCCAACTTAGAATTCCAGTGTCTGGATCGGGAATAGAACTTGCTGCAGTTGGTCATCAGGCGGAAATAAGAATGGATGGAATTTCTGGTAACGCTGACGCCCACGTCACTGTGTCATCTCCTTCCGGAAAGAGCATTCCGGTAAAGATGAATACCGAATCTGACTATTTGGTCGCAACATTTGTTCCTGAAACTGTTGGTCGTCACTCGGTAGCGGTTTTAATCAGTGACCAACACATCATTGGGTCTCCGTTTAATTGCAACGTTTTTGACGTCAACAAGGTAATTGTTTCTGGCCTGCCGGGACAGAAAACGTTGAACAGAAGCATGCAAGACCTTTCATTGTCTGGAAAAGAAACCGCGGAAGTTGGAAAACCTGTAACGTTCAGTGTTGATGCGGCTCATGCTGGGGAAGGTACTTTGGAACTGGTTGTGTCCACACAACATACTACAGTTAAAGCGGAAGTGGTGGCTTGCGCCAGGGGCCTTTACGAGGTCACCTTTGTGCCACAAACAAACGAGACCCATTTCGTTAATATTACATTCAACGAAATGGAAATCCCAGGTAGCCCATTCCAATGTTCTGTTATTGAACCAGTTCAATATCTTCAGATCGGTAATTTGGTGCACATTGACCTATTAAATGACCACAAGTTGGAAGTGACAGATCCCAACAACCACATCGTGAAATACACGTTGAAGAATTCAAAGGCAGAATTTTCTGTCAACCATACAGGAGTTTATCACATACAGTTTATTAAGGGTCACGAGGTTGTAGGGTCACGCACAATTCACGTCTTTAACATGTCGAAAATTGAAGTGGTGAATGTGCCTGATGCAATATCTCATCGACCTGCTGTAGTTACAGTCAATATTAACAAAGCAGGACCTGGAAAACTAACTGCGGCAGTAAAATTCGCCAATAAAGATGTACCCCACAGTGTACGTCAAAGTATCAACATCCCTAAACTGTGGGAGATCGTGTTTCATCCCAGTAACGTTGTGCCACACAGAATCGTATTGTATTACAACGGAGTTCCTCACCCGAACGTCCTTGAAATAGGTGTAAAAGCTCCTGGGAATGAACCTTGGGCCGGTGGTATAGGGTTGTATCAAGCTAGGGTTGGAAAAGTGGCTTCGTTCAATATAGACACGCTAGGAAAGCCAGCTAGAGAATTCGACGTGGTAATTAGTGGACCCGCAGGAACTGCCGTGCCTGTTCGCTGTTATCAAACGAAAACAGGAAAACTGCAAGCGGAATATACGGCAAAAGATATTGGTGCCCATAAAATTGAAGTTCTTCATCAATCTAAACCATTGAACGGGAGTCCGTTCAACTGTCACGCGTTTGACGTCGACTATGTCAGAATTTTCGATATTCCACACACCCAGAGCAATGTTGGAGAAAAAATTGGATTCAATGGTAGGTGTAGAATATTTGTTTTACACTAGTTTATGGTGGTAATAATCTGACCTACTTGATCTTCATCATTATAAGGTCGTCAGTCCTCAGACATTTCCGTTCTTTCCTATTCTGAGCTAATTTTCGCATTTCCCCAAAACTAGAACAACCACATCCTTAGCTATTTGCAAGCAGTAAGCTAATCTAACTCCTGTTAACTCCTGTTTCTGCCTCTAATATGTCTCTGAGTAGATCTTCATTCCTTGACCTTAGCAATGGACAAATTATTTTTCGTTCGGATTCAGTAATTAAATCATTAGCTGATCTTTTAATTTTTGAGCGAGTATTTCTTTATTACAGTATCTACAAAAAATGCCGGTCTTGCCGATCTGGATGTCAAAATAACGAATCCAATAAATCAGACGGTAGCCATTCAAAAAAATCAGTTGGACGACCACACATTCCAAATAAGTTTCTTGCCAACATTACCAGGCCTATTCCAAGTTTCGATCACATACGGAGATATCCCCGTGAAAGGATCGCCTTTGGCATTGGGTGTTGGCCCAGTTGGACCTACCCCACCTCCTCGCGCAGTTGGTAAAGGCTTAGAAAGTGGCCAAGTTGGAGAAAGGACCAACTTCATAATAACCAGCGTTATACAACCGAGGGTAATAATAGACGCAGCAGAGGGTAACATCGACGCCCATATTCAGTGTTCAAAACCTGGAGAATATCTCGTGTCGTACACTCCAAAATGGGTTGGAACTTACGATATCATTATTAGCATTGGTCCTAATGAGGTGATTTGTTTCATCCTTAATGAGGAAAATTCTATCAATAATCCTTTTTTTTTGATATAGCTTGCCGGATCCCCATTTAGGCCTAACATTGTAGATGTAAATTTAGTTCGTTTAATAGGCGGCTGGCCTCAATATTTGGATGACACTGGTCGGATAAAACTTCCTGCGAAATTGGCCTTTGACACATCGAGCGCTGGACCGGGAACTCTGGAATGCAAACTGGCCGGGCGCAAATTAATGCCAGAAAAAAGTGGCGCACGTGTACGGTTCGAACTGTCACCGGAGGGGTTGAATGCTGGTGAACACGATTTCGAAATCAAATACGCCAACATTCCTTTGCCGGAAGCTCCCAAAACTGCCGTTAGTCTTAAAGATCAGGTTGTGCTTACAGGCAGAGGGTTGGCAAATGCGCAATGCGGTGAACCTGCATATTTCACCATTGACGGTTCAAAATCTGGACCAGGTATCGTATATACACATGCAAGGTCTTTTCAGAAAGTATGGCGAATTTTGTGTTTTTCAAAAATGATTTATTTATTCATGAATTTTTTCAATCCTAGAAGCACTTTTTGTGCTCCTGTTCAGCTCCTTCTTCGATGCCGTCTTTATCTCCCCAATCGTAGCGTATCATCGTTCTTTCATGGGTCTCTTCAGTTTCTGGAACAAGAAATGGTCACAGGGGGGCAGGTTTGGGGAATACGGTGACTATGGCGTTATAAGTGTCTTGTTTCTGGTCAAAAATTCGCGCACAAGCAGGGGCGTTATCATGGTCCAAAAGCCAATTTTTGTTCTTCTACAAATTCGGGCGTTTCTGGCGGATTACTTAGCGTAAATTTCGCATGACTTGCAGATAATATTCCTTATTGACCGTTCTGCCTTGTGGTAAAAACTCATGATGCACCACGCCCCTGCAATCGAAGAAAACTCTAAGCAAAACCTTCCCATTCGACTTAACTTGGCGCTCTTTTTTTAGTCTCATGCGGTAGCTTCCATTAGAATAACCGACCTTTGGTTTCGACGTTATAACCATAAACTCATGATTCGTCACCAGTTGTGACTCTGGAGCATATTTGGGTCGTCGCGGACAGAGTCCAACAGCTCCTTAGCAATGTTAATGCGATGCTGTTTTTGGTAGAAATTGAGCAGTTTTGGTACGACTTTCGCGGCGACCCGTCTCATGCCGTAATCATTGGTAAAAATCGAATGGCAGAAGCCAATCGATATGTTTAGGTCCTCGGCAACTTCTTTAACGGTGATTCGACGTTTGGCCAATACTATTTTCTTCACTTCATCAATGTTTTCGTCTTCTGTTGACGTGCTCGGGCGTCCGGCACGCTCTTTGTCGTTCAGATCTTCTCGGCCCTCTGAGAACATTTTGTACCATCGGTAAACGTTGCTTCGGTTCAAGGTAGCTTCACCATATGCCACAGTTAACATTTTCTTTTGCACAGAAAATTTGATGCAGATTCCTTGACCCATTTTTTGGAATAGGCAAAAATCGAAGAAGAACCAAAACACGTGCAAGCAAAGCAGCGGTCAAAAATTAACTGAAGATTCAACATAACCGAACTTTTCAGTATAAATAAGAGACATGAATACCAACATAACGCCACAAAAAACATCGCGATACTTTTTGAACAGACTTCGTATAATTAATCTAAAACCGCTAAAGTCGCCCTTAATTTAATTCNTTGTTGTAGAACAAACAGAATAGCTCAAAACCCCAACGCCAAAACACGACACTGTAGTTGTCCGAAGCACTTTTCGGTAACAAAGTTACCTTCTTCAGGGACTGTTTTAGTTCACTTCAGTTCCTGAAGAAGGTAACGTTAGCGTTTTGAGCTATTCTGTTTGTTCTACAACAACCGCCAAAGTTTATCCAATCTTCATATTTATTCTAATTTGTTTATTGATTACTGTGTTTTAAACTTTTGCAAGACAAAGTAGCTTTTTTACGTCTTACGTTTTAATATACTACGAAGTTATGCACTGTGATATTTTTCATAATATGTACGAACACCAACGACGGTAAACCTATGCATATTTTGTTGTTGCAATGTTGTGTTATTTTCTATTGTTATTTTATAAATTTTATGTGTATGTATCTGCAATAAATTCTTGCCACTCTTTTTGTTGCTAATATGCCTATATTAGTTACTACTGTACATGTATGTAATAATAAAATTTTCATTTCTGGCTTTACATGTTTGTGTCTTTCTAATGTAATAAACGTTTTTGAATCTCTATTGCACCGCATTTTTTTCGTATTTTCAGGGCATAGAAGATTTGTCACGTAGACATCCCTTTATATTTGTACATGTAATTAACCCAATACCCTCCTTACTAATGGCACTTAGTTCCTTTATTTTCTTCTTCTTGTTTTTGTATTATAAAATTCCTATTTTCAAGAAAAAAAAAAACATAAAAAACTTCATTCGTAATGTTACGTGTGTGTGAAACACAATTTCCATCAAGAAAATATGACAATAATTTTATTATTGATACAATTTGTTCCAATAATAAAAATATTTTGGTTTTTGTATCAGAATTGGCTCTCCTCTTTTGGTGAGGCGAATCACTGGACTCACTGATAAAGGCGGGACAATCCTGAACAACAACCATCAATCTCAAATATTGAATTTTATTTAAATAAAGTCGTTCGTAAAAACCTTCGCTTAAACGTGATATTGTACTTTCTGTCTTGAAAGTTGTATGTGTAATTAATCAAAATTTGCACCTCTATTTTCTTCGTTATTTTTAAATTAGATTGCAATTATTTACAATTGTATTTTACTTTACTTATTATCAATTACTTTTACTTTTTTCTTTTGAAAATACTAGAAATTTAATCCACAAATATAACCTTTTAGTACCCTAAACATCAACATTAATTGATTTTCATTTAATTTTAAAAAAAAAGGATTTGTTGTCAGTTTATAAAATTAACAATAATAATAGAGGTAACAATTTTTGAATAATAAACCATATAATAAAAATACGTATTATGCCAACAAATCCAAACTTTATTAAAAAATTACGAATGATTTTACTTAAAAGAAAGATAATACATATTTAGACATCAAATGGTTAAAATTGGTTGCATGTTTAGTATTGTTTTTCTTGATGAAGAGACTTTACTTTGGTGAGGGTTGTTCTTTTATTTCCAATTGAGTATACTGTTGCTGCACTTCTTGTTTTTTTTTTTGTATATACGATACATACACAGTTTTAAAATTTTGTAATTATTATCCTTCGGAAAATAACATTGCAACAAACAAAAATACCGAGCACGTTTCAAAGTTCTATTTTTAAAGAAGATAAAACCGAAAGGTAAATGGTGCCATAAATTTGTATCAATTTCTCTGATTAGTATAATTAACAGTTTTGAATTTGGTTAACAAAATAGCTATGCAAAAACAAAAAAACATTGCTACTACAAGTTATTCACTATGGTCAGAGTTAGTCATAAATAATTTTTATTTAACCAGATTTGCATAATATATGGTTATTTATTGCAATTGCATATCACTTTCACTTTCATTTATAAACTTAATAGCAATATTATTCAAAACAATGGCAACTGATTTATGAAACGTTAAGAAATTTATATATATAAGTGCACTTAGTTTTGTGATAACGATATATTTACACAACGATTGAAGTTCAATTATATTTCATAGGTAAATACCGTTTTAATTAAATTTAATTAATGTATCATCCTCGATTACGATTGTAACTATCAAGTCAATTCAACTTTTTCTAAATTAACCTTCTCATGGCAAAATATCGTATTTCTTTAGAGGGTTAAAATTGATTTCAATGACAAAACTATTTTAACTTTCTAATTATTATCAACTGAGTCTAAATTTAGAAAGGTAGATATAATATAAAAATAAGAAG